TTCGCTTGTGACCCACAAGTGGAAGGAGGACGTGAGTAACATTCTGGATTTACTTAACGTCAACTCAGTACAGAAGCAGAGGCTGGCAGCTTTTAGCCTAAAGGGTGATGCAGGAGGATGGTACAGGCTTCAGTTCACTCCGGATCATCGGATAACCCTCACTTGGGAGGATTTCGTGTATTTCTTCGACGAGCAGTACATCTCTTCCGCGGCACGGGCCGGGAAAGAGCTAGAGTTGTCTAAGCTAGAGCAAGGAGATATGTCTGTGGCTGATTATGAGAGCCGATTTATGAGTCTTCTACGTTTTACGGACATGTGGCAGTCAGGAGAGCGCCAGACGCAGATGTTTCTTATGGGACTTCGCCCAAGTCTTCGCCAAGGGCTCATTCTTTGATTTCTAGTGCTTCTAATCTACGCATGATTATAGCCATCTTTGCTTCAGAGGCAATGTTTGTCTCTAGGGACAGACCACTGGATTTGAGTTGGGGAAGTGATAAAACTGTCATCATAGTATTCCCATTGCATAGTTTTCTCAAATAAACTCTCTAAAAATTTCCAAGCTTCGTCGCCAATTTTCTTCATGAAATCCACTTAACACGTTGATTTTAAGGAAGTTTTTGAAGAATAATCTAATCCTTTGCAGATGATTTGGCATAATCGCCATTTTTCAAGACCGTGGTGAGAACATTGGATAATGAGATCTTTAAATATGTCAAAATACTTTTAGAATAGCTCACCCGGGAAATTTTAAAATTCATGATGTTGTTTCTAAACTTAACCGTTTTGTGGTTAGGGAAAATTTCTTCAGAAAAACAATAATAAATCCATCCCAAGTTGAGATAGAATTCGTGGGTAAGCTATACAGCCATTTATTGGATTTGTCCTTAAGAGCAAATGGAATAAATCGAAGCTTGATCGCATCCTCAGATAGTTCACTAATCTTAATCATAAGACAAACTTCCTCAAACTTGGAGATAAAGATATATGTGTCTTCGGTTTTATTTCCTAAGAATTTTGGAAGCATGTTTATATAATGCAGTCTAAGCTCAAAATTAGTTCCATTGACTTCAGGTAGCTTAATGCAAGATGAGATTGCATTCCTAATTGGGTAACACATACCTTGAAGAACCAATGGATTAAGATTATCTATATCTTCAAAAATTTGTTCAAAATGGATAAACAATTGGTATTATCCCTAATCCAACCTTGCATACACCAAAAAAATTCTAAGAAAAATAGAAGTTAGTTTTTTTAAAATCAATACTAAAAAATTCTAAAAGATAATGAGAAGGAGGAGAAACATAAAAGAAAAACATAACTAAAACAAATAAAAAATAATCACTTGTGTCAATCACTCTAAATTATAGGGTTAAGCCCTTCCAAATACATCTGTGAGAAAAATATAAAATCTCTCCGCTGGTCATAAATTTCCAGATTTATACATCGAGCATGAATTGTGCATTTGCTCTTACTAGTTTTTACACACGTGCAATGCACGTGATTTAATACCATGATTAAGTATTTTTAGCAGTTTGTGCTCATTTTTTTCTTTAAACTCTTACATCCCGATTATTTTTTTATGTTTGTTTAAATGGGATACACCCAATTTAAATTTTCATGTTGATATTTGAATTGACAAAAAACAAATATAATTTAAAAGTAATTTGAATTTTCATATTATTTTTGACCGATATGAAACTAAACTTTATTTGAGAAAGTATAGCATTGCAAAGTGAAAAATATTAAAATAGTGTTATACAAGGAAGGTGAATATTTAAAACCAATATGGTAAAATAATTAATTTAAAGTATGTTAAAACGATACAAAAGAGAATATGAAGTTTATTCCTAATCATTGATAGACTTCAAAAAAAAATATAAATTAAAGATTAATGCTAACTCTAGTATACTTTTATATGATAAAAACATCCACATAAGAATATAAAAGTACTGAAAAAAATTCATGAAACTCCCTTCTAAAGATTCCTAATTTCACTCAAAATAATTAAACTATTCTATAAAATATTCATAAAATATTATTTTTATTTCTTCTATTTTATTTTTTATTGAGTTAAGATCAATCCTTCTTCAGGTTTTTCATTTATCATTTCTCGGACAATTCTAGAGTATTGTCTTCATCATCTACATCAATTGTGACATCAGGCTAATTTTGTATTTTTTATGCTATTATCTTTTCTAGGCTCGTTATTTTTTTATCATCTCATTTAACTTTACAAAGAAATCAAATGTACTTATGATGTTCAACACAAACTGCTCAAAATATAGACTTTGATTTTTTTTTATTTCAATGAGAATAAATATTAATTTCATATATATAAAATTCTTTGTGTTCCTAATTTATTACTTAAATAAATTAGAAGCTATCTCTTTATTTTCCTCTAAAATAAATTCTTCTGATGTGTATCCAATAATAATTTCTGTTATTTCAATAATATTACATTTGCTCTATCCCTGTCATTTTCTATAAAGATCTAAACTAAATACCTACATTATTCATTACCAATTTCTCTTAGATTATAATATTAATATTTAATTTGAAGAACACAGTATGGAATTTATGAATACTTACTAATTTTTCTTATGTCTTCCATGGAGATTTTTTCTTTGATTAGGATAAAGTTATTAAATTATTTTTTAATGTAACTCATTCAGTGCTTCATTAATAGATATGTCTTATGTTAATGCCAATTCAAGTGATTCATTGACGTTTTCTGAATTTTAGATTTATTTCCATCACTTTCCCATTTGCAATGGAAATAACTCAATTCTTTTAAAGTTATCTCTAAATATTCTAATAGTTTCTCCATATGTAATTCCTTGTATTCTTTTACCCTATAAATATTATTAACGTCAAAGATTAAAGTTTCTAAATTAAAATCAATTAATGCTAAGGTATAATATTATAGTGTTTTATCATTTCTATGGATTTAAACATCTATCAATTAATGTTACGAATGTATTTTGGCTACCCCAACTTATTACTAAAATTATATGAAATTACTTTAATTTATATAGTGCCGATAATTTTTAATCTATAATATTTTTAAAAATTTTATCCATTAACCGGATGTTTTTAATCAATTCTTATTGTTTTTGTTTACCAGTATCAACTTAGACTATTCTTAGATGCTGAAAATGGATAGTAAATCCCTAAATTAGAAATTTTAATATATATATATATATGAAAAATACCAAACAATTACACTTTTCTTTGCCAAGTTTTAAAATTTTAGCCCATTTTTGTGGTTTTGAACTTTGAGGGTGTGATTTATAATTTTTAAATTTTTGAAAGAGTTTTTAAAAAAATTTACTTTTAAGTTTGGTAGTTGTAAATTCTATGTTTCATGTGTTGGTGGTAATTTTTTAAATGTTAGTATATTTCTTGTAACTCTAAAATTTTGAGGGTGTCTTTTACAATTATTAAAACTATAGATTAATTTTGAAAAATATTAAATTTTAGCGGTCTACCAATCGACGAATTTGATGTGTGCTAGTTAAAATTTTTGAAAATTTAGAGTTTTTTTTATGATTTTTAAATTTTGAAAGAGTTTTTTAAAAATTTTGAGGTTAATTTTGGTAAATTTTAATTTTTTAGGTGTCTAAGGGTTATATCTTGAATTCATCTTATTTTATTTACAAATTTTAGAATTTTAGGGTGGCTTTTTATAATTTGAACTTTTGAATGTGTTTCTATAATTTTTGAGATATTGAGGGTGTTAATTAAAAAATTTAAATTTAAATGTCAAAAATTTTAGGTGTATCATGGTAATCTCTTGAATTCATCTGTGTTGTTTGTAAGTTTTAAAATTTTATAATTTTAATGTGCTTGTTTGTAATTTAAACTTTTGAGGGTGCTTTTATAATTTTTGAGACATTGAGGTGTTAACTGTAAATTTTAAATTCTTTGCAAACTGATGTTAATTTTTTAATTTCATGTTTTTTATTTTAAGTTTTGAGACATTTGAATGAGTTTTATAATTTTGAACTTTTCAGGGTCATTTCTGCAATTTTAAAACTTTTTATGGTTTTTTTATAATACTTTATGTATTATAATATGTTATCTACTTGTAATTTCTTTATCTTAACAAACTAATATCATTTTTATGTTTTATATATTTTATTAATATTTTAGTTTTTTTAAATTGTTAAGCTAAACATGGTTCACATAGGATTAGGATAAGATATGATTATGATTAGGATAGATTAAGATATAAATAAAATATTCAAAATAGTGAAGGGTAATATTGACCATTGAAAATTAGAATTTGATTATAGATAAGGTAGTTCAAACTATAAAAGAGTATATTTGTCTAAAAAAGATTTTCCGAACTTGTGCTTTTAAAGGGAGTATGATATATATACATATATACATTGAATTGATCTCAAACCAATTCATGGCATACTCAAACATCATAATATGTTATTTATAAATATATAACATATTTATTATTATTTATCAAAAAATATTCAAATTTTTAGGGTTTTACATAAACGGCCTGGCCCTAGGGCCTGATCATGTCCCCGATCTCCGACTCCGTGACCACTGTCCTCGCTTTTGCCTTCCACAGCCTTCCCAGAGCCTGATCATTTTCAGTGGCCATGGCGGAAGTAAGAGAGAAGGAGAAGTTGAGAGATAGAGGGGTGAGAGAGAGAAATGTGATTAATGATGAAGAAATTGTGAATAAATAGGGAGGGGCACAGTTACCGAGTTCAGTCCCATCAAAGGGGGCAAGTTCGTAACTTCCATTGGGCTTTTTTTGAAATCCATACTTTGGGGCCTCGTCACAAATACTGTGTGTATTTGGGGCTTATCCACATGTGGTAGAATACAAAAAGCCTCGTCACATGAAGTTTCTACTTACACAATTTTCCCTATTTTCTTTTAAAAAATATTTTTAAACAAAACTCACAAAAAAAAAGTGAGAGAGAGTGAGGAAAAAAACTCTGCTCACTTGGACAAATCCGTAATCCAATCCAGTAGTACGTGGCAGAACCGAGATCGACTTCATCTCTTCCCCTTCACCAGAAAGCATGACCTCTCACTTCGCAGAAAATTTGATACTATTAGCACGGAGAAAATAAATACAAATCAAAATCAAAACAAAGCTCCCCGTTAAAGAGAAACAATGGCGTCAATGGCGTCGAGCCTCAGTCCTCTCTCTCCTCATCTCGCCTCCGCTCGCCGTTCTCTCTCGTGGGGGCGCACTTTAGCACCCGCGTGCAGCGAAGCGCTATTCTGCGCTCCACTTGTCTCTTCGTCTTCTGCAGGCAAGTGAGCCTTCTTTCTGATGGAAAATTACTTTTCAGTCCATATCGATTTGTTATAAATTTACAGCAGGCCCATACATGTAAATTTACCTTTGAAGTTTGTAACGAACTAGCAATTTGAGACATTCTAGTGTTCTACAATTTTGATTACCTATCTACCGTAAGCGTAAGGATTAATAGAGAACAGTAGCTAAAGGTTATAGTGGTGTTTGAGAAAGACACATAGCATTGGACCATGAGAGAATGGGTCTCAAATTTGAGATGAAATGTTTACACTGGGACACCATTCTTTCAGCAAATCGTAGTTAGTGCGAACCCTTAAGCAAGGCTTAATGATATTAAAGTCACCAAGACTCTTGTGATGAGGTTGAGGATCATTAATTTTATGCTCAAATGTGCCCGTGACCCTTTTTATGGTCCTCAACCAACAAAGTGTTTCAAAGTCTGTTTTAAATTCGTGTTTAGTGAGATTTGAATCTGGGTCGCTCTGATAAAAATGTTCCTTCCATTGCACCTCTGCGGAAGCAAACCTTGGAATCCACCAAAAGGGTCTTCAAATCCACAAAGAAAGAGAACCTTCAAATCCAATACCACAAAATTAATTCTAATCATGTGAATTTTTTATTGGTTAGTTAGATGTGTTATGCCTTTACTATTAGTGGAGGTCTGTTGTTCAAGCTCCCCTATCAAGCTTAAACCCCTGAACTCTTACTCTACTGTGAGCCACATGTTTGAACTAGGATTTGACAAGGATTTGAGAGAAAAGAGTTGCAAGAGGATGTGAAGACTGAAGAGAGAGGAAGTGAAGATACTGTAGAAAGAAGATTGGTTAAATTAAAGATATAAAAGATCATGATTGATGCTCAGGGCATTTAACTTGGCGAAAACTTATAACCACTTCCATAATTGTGACGAGCCAAATGTGGCCTTTTTCAGTTTCTTAACTAAATCACTTAGATGATTTGCCCACTATTTGAGGTAACATATGGTCAAAAAGCATGACCTGTGTCCTTGCAAGTGCAGGTATGAGGCCCATTACTTGTGATAGCTTAAATGAACAAATTATAACTTGTATAAATAAGTAAGAATTCCATTCTGTGGGGTTACTTCAGTTCATAAATGAAAAGTGATTCTAAAATAAAACTCTAGTTATGAATGTTCCCTGAAGCTTTGTGATCAAATGCTAGTGTGTGATGTAGAATTTTATATATGATGGTTTACTTTTCAACTTTCATTATGCCAACAAATAACCCGTTATATAGTTACCAAATACTTTATAGCATATACCCTAACCTTTTTTTTTGTCTTGATTGTTTTCAGGAAGATATAACATGCAATCGCTCGTTAAATGTAATGCTCAAACAGTAGTTTCAACTAGTATTGCTCAGGGCACTCCTGTCAGGCAAACAAGCATACTAGTTGTTGGGGCCACCGGAACTTTGGGCCGGCAAGTTGTTAGGAAAGCATTAGATGAAGGATATGACGTTAGATGTCTTGTAAGGCCTCGGCCAGCTCCAGCTGATTTCCTTCGAGATTGGGGTGCAACTGTTGTCAATGTAGGTTTTGAAATTTCAATTGTTTCTCATTTAACATTAGGACCTCCTTTTTGCACGTATTTTTACTAGCAAGAATAACTTAAGTGGACTTGGGGTTCTATCCACTAACATTTTAATCCCTTGATTTTGCTTTGAGATTCATGTTAATGTGTGATATACATAAAGGCATCTTACAATTAGCCTTGATTTGCATCACTCACCAACATGAATCTCAAAGTAAATCCAACAGATAAAAAGTGGCTGGACAGAGTTCCCAATCCAGTTAAGTTTATTCTAGCTTGTCTTTTAAGTTTTAACCTACACATTCATCATGTTAAAGTATACCCTCGTTGATTTAGACTTTACCGATTCTTTGAAAGCTGTGTTTCAAGACAGCTGGTTAACTACTAGCTAGACATCGAAGGCTCATGAGCAATGTCTTTATTCTAAAGAATAGACTAGTCCTGTAAAGTTATTAGTTTGAGTTGTAAGGAACATTAATCTTGCAGTATGAACACAGATGGGAAAGATGAAATAATGACATCATGACATTGAGCAATCACTAAATTGTACTTCCATAACAGTATCATAAAGTATCAGAACCAGGTTTGGTACTTATATTATCATGTGAATTCTGCTATCTTGTAACTTCAAATTTTCACGTGGTACTACTGGCTGCCATAAAACATGATTTTATATAACTCTTTTACTATTAAGTTTATCTCTGGAGGCCTTTGAACTCATTCAGTCAATGCACTCTTCAACTGAAAAACTTTCTTCTCATTCTTCTCTTCAACTGAAAAACTCTCTCTTTCTGGAAGGATAATCAGGTTTCAGTAGAGTATCTGTGTTACTGTAACATGGACACAGACATAGACATCAAGTGTCCTGAAATCTTTTTGACATGACGAGTCATGAACAGGAGGACAGGAATACATTGATTATACTTGTGTGGCGTGTATACTTAAAGGAGAAACAAGCTCTAAATCACAGTATTTGTTTAGTTATTTCATGACATTCATTGTTAGAAGAAGCATCACGTGTCTAGACCATTCTTTGTATGTCTTTTAACTTTTAAGATATTTCTTTCCTATACAATAATATACTATTTTCTTTGTGTATCCAAGTCATAGTACATGGGTTTCGTGTCATAGGGTGTCTCTAAGTGGTCGACATGTAATTTTTTTTTAAATTGAGTATCTTGGTAAGCCATCGTTCAGTTTGCTTGATAGTTTTATTAGTTGAAACTATTGACAATGGAAAGCAATGAATACTTTTATAAGCTATCGACTGCTTGAGGAAGGTGAGGAGAGTTACTACAATATATCTTGGTTACAATGTTTCTAGGAACAGTTGTTGGTGGCTACATATCACAGGGATAAATTTGCCAATCAGTCATATATCAAATCATCTCATTTATCTGTTGAATTGTTTTGGAAGTCAAGTGGAGCGGGAATGATGTTTTAGTGCAAACTTGTTACTTACCTGCGCAATGCACATTAATCTGAGAGTGCGGCTATAGTATTTGGGAAGAGAGAAGAGGAGAAAGAAAAGGTGAAGTAATGAGGCAATTGATGAATTTTGATAGAATTGATATTGAGATGATGATATATAACAGATGGAGGATAGTGTTTCCAAAATAATAATAACAACAACAGCAACAAAGACTAGGATAGCTTCTGCTTGTGATTCATGCAACTAGTGACAGTTGTTTTAAAATAGTAATAGATATTGTATATGGTTCTAACCATGTAGGAGATGCGTGGGCCATGGGATGCCTTCAGATAACATTTGATCTTTCTTTTTACCTTTTCTCTTTCATTATTAGTGGTCTGGCCTTAATTTTAAATAGAGAAATGAATGGATGACAAATCATTTTCTTTAGGTTTGAACTGAGACATGCTTGTGATGATATTATGAACAGGCTGATCTTAGCAAACCAGAGACCATTCCTGCGACTCTTGTTGGCGTTCATACAGTGATAGATTGTGCAACAGGACGGCCCGAAGAGCCTATCCGCAAGGTACTCAATTTAGAGATAAACTGTTTTTGTAGTTGACCTGGAGAAGTATTTGATTAAAAACTTACTTGCAGACATCTACACATGCATGTACTTTATCTTTGGGTATCTATGATTTGTAGACTTTGATGTGTTTCACATATGGACCTTCAACCTTGAACGAACAAATACACATAAATTATATTATTCCATGTTTAACATATACTTCCTTCACATAAAACTAAACCTGCAAACTAGGTTAAGTTTTTACACACGGATTCTAACCACAAGGTTGCAAATCGAAAAGGTACAAGCAGCTACTATGGGAACAGTAGAGCTGGTATTCTCAATTGTAGCTTACTCCAAATAATCACTCATAATAGGAAGCCTTCATTCTTTTATTAGCCAAAACTATTGTTTAGAACATTATTGGAAAAAAAAACCTGCTACATAACTTGTTATTTCGCGTTTATGTAATGTAACAAACCTTAAATGTTACGTGACCTTTTGAAATAACTCAGACATGTCATGAATCTACACTATTACGATAAAGCATACACTATTTTAATAATGTATGCTATTTCAATAAAACATGCACTATTTTAATACAATGTTTGTTTTTTCAATATAGTTTATCATAGAAACCTGAGAGTCTGAGACTATTTTCGTTGTTTAAAAGTTGAAGCAGTAAAATATTTTCTTTGGATTTTTTGTTAAGCATTGATGGTTTATTTTTATGGATTCATTATTTTTTTGATTGTGCTTACGATTTGTGGAAAATAAAATGAGCATGAAATAAAGGACATATGTAAATTTCTGAAGATAAGTCGTTTTTGTCCTTAGATGTGCAACTATACAGTCTAAAATGAATGTGAAATTGTTCACTCTATATTACAACCATTTCCCATCCTTAGATGTGCCTCTACATGCAAGGACATAAAATATTTTTGCATTTATCACCGTACATATATTTTATTTATTTTGTTCTCAACGAGCTGGTCTTTCATCAAGCAATGTATTGCTAATGGTAATGGTACTTGTTCGTGCTTTCCTATCCTAACTGATTTGTTCTATTTAGGTAGATTGGGAAGGGAAAGTTGCTCTCATACAATGCGCAAAAGCAATGGGAATCCAAAAGTTTGTATTTTATTCCATTCATAACTGTGATAAACACCCTGAGGTTCCTTTGATGGAGATCAAGCGCTGCACCGAGAAGTTCCTTCAAGATTCTGGTTTAAACTACATCATAATCCGTTTATGCGGTTTCATGCAGGTATTTAATGCCCAACGTATGATTCTGATACTGCCTCCAAATTGTTGTTCTTAATTAAACTAGGAACCCTTTTTCTTAGATTCATTAAATTCTAGGATAGATTAATTATTTTTGGAATAGTAATTTATTTCATCATTTCCAAAAATTTGAAGGATATTATTTGCTTGTTAATGCAATAACAAAAAAAAAAAAATCTATATCCCAAAATTTTATGGTCGGCTACATTGGTCATAATCTTCCATTGAGTTCTATTGAAGGTTATCTCCTCTTCTATTCATTAACATATCCTTCATAACTACTCTAGAAACACAAAGGAATAATACCGCCATCAACAACAGAAAGTACAAATAAAATAGAGAAAACAATTACTGAAACATAGAGACTTAACGGGCAGCAATCAATGTGATTACCTATGTCTTCAGAGTATAAACCAGGTTACAATTCCACTAATACTTAACATTACAAATTTAATGTGCTGATTCTTCAATACCTACTATCATAGAATATTCATGCGGTACCTTCGACCCTAACTATCAACTACAGATTGGTTGAAATTGAAACCATTTATGTTGAAAGTTATAGTACTAATACCTAAAGCAGTGAACCAAATACCTACTATAGGCCAAGCAGCCAAGAAGAAGTGTAAGGAACGAGAATTGTTGAAACTAGCATATTGGATGATCAATCGGCCAAAATAAGGATTACAATCAATCTCATCTCCATACTATCTCTATTATTCTCCCTTTGGGATACCACTTCATAGACAGCTGAAGATACAAATTTATAGCATGGGGTTTCTATCTATAGAGTTGAAATTATGAAAATACCCTCCACATGAGGTTTCCCTTTTGCCCCACACCCAGGAGGAGGCGTGCAATTACGTAGACGTTTAATTCTTGGTCTTGGTACTATGTATTCTCCATGTAAATCAAACTCCACAAACAGTACCTACATCTAGTCATCCTTTATGTAGGATTCATATTCATAGAGATTCTACTAGATTACATGGTAGTTGTTAGCTGCGTAATGCTGACCCCCTTCTTGTCTTGGTTTGGGGAGACAGTGAAAAGATAAAGTTTACAGTACAACACTCAATATATATACTTTTTAGTTCTTTTTCAAAAATTACATTTATTGTAAAAGTGTTTTGCTTTATCCTTCAGTTTTATCAATTTAATCCTTCTGTATCAATGCAAATAGGGCTTAATTGGACAATATGCTGTTCCAATACTAGAAGAGAAATCAGTTTGGGGTACGGATGCTCCCACAAGGATAGCTTACATGGATACACAGGTTGGAATTTTAATTTATTAATTTATACCTGCATTGCATCATGGGTTTATAGTTGTGCTTAATCTACATCTTTATGTTGTTCCAGGATATAGCTCGATTGACATTTATAGCTATGCGCAATGAAAATATTGCCAAAAAGCATCTCACATTTGCTGGACCTCGAGCTTGGACAACCCAAGAGGTATGAGGATTTCATGTTTTCAAGTGTCTCTTTTGTTTTACTAGGTTTTATACACGTGCAATGCACGTGGTTAGATATCATGATTAACTATTTTTTGATTTTTTCCCCTAACTAAAGTTTGTTCATCGGTTCCACTTTAATAGTTTGTGCTTACTTTTGTCTCTAAAATTTATCATTACGATTATTTATTTTCTTTAATGTTTGTTTAAATGGGCTATATCTAACTTAAATTTTCATGCTGATATTTGATTGATAGAATACAAATATAATCTGAAGCTAATTTAAATTTTTATATTATTTGGACTAACATAAAACCAAACTTTACTTGAGAAAGTATAGCGTTGTGAAAATGAAAAATATTGAAACAGTGTTATACAAGAAAAGTGAATATTTAAAACTAATAAGGCAAGGTGATTGATTAAAAGTATGCTAAAACGATACAAAATAGAATATAAAATTTATTCCTAATCATTAATAGACTTCATAAAAATTATAAACTAAACACTAATGCTAGCTCTAGAGTATACTTTTAAATAATAAAAACATCCACATAAGCATATAAAAGTACTAAAAAAGTTCATAAACCCCCTTTCTAAAGATTCCTAGTTTCATTCAAAACAATTAAACTATTCTATAAAATATTTAGAAATTTTGTCTTTTATTCCTTTAATTTTATTTTTTTATTAAGCTGAGATCATTCCTTCTTCCCCTTTATCTCTTTTCTTGGCAATTTTAGAATAATATCTTCATCATCTACATCAATTGTAACATCAGGCTGGAGTTGGATTTTTTGCACTGTTATCTTTCCTAGGCTTGTTATTCTTTGATCTTCTCGTTTAACTTCATAAAGAAGTAAAGTGTATTTCTGATGTTCAACACAAACTTTTTGATATACAAACTTTGATTTTTTTTTCCTATTTTAATGAGAATAAATTTTAATTTCATATATATTAAATTATTGGTGTTCCAAATTTATTGCTTAAATAAGATCAGGAGCTACCTCTTTTTCATCTACAATGAATTCTTTTGATATGCATTTAATAAGAGTTTCTATTATGTCAATAACATTACTTTTACTCTATCCCTATCGTTTTTCACAAAGATCTGAACTAAATACATGTATTTTTTCATTAATAATTTCCCTTAGATTATAATATTAATATTTAATTTCTTTAGTATTTGAAGGACAAAGTATAAAATTTATGAATACTTACTAATTTTTCTTATATCTTCCATGAAGAATTCTTCTTTGATTGAGATAAAGTTGTTAATTATTCTTCGATGGAACTTAGTCAGTGCTTTCTTTATTCATTTTATCGCTTTATCATTTGTAATAGAAATAACTTGATTCTTTTGAATGATATCTTTGAACATTCTGATAGTTTCTCCATATGTAATTCATTGTATTATTTTACCTTATAAATATTACTAACATCAAAGATTAATGTTTCTAAATTATAATCAATCGATGCTAAGCTATTATATTATAGTCTTTTATTATTTTTATGGATATAAACATCTATCAATTAAATGTTACTAATATATTTTTGCTGCTCCAACTTATTAGTAAAATTATATGCAACTACTTTGACTTATATGGTAACAATAATTTTAAAGCTATCATATATTTTTTAAAAATTTTATTCCAGCATTAATTTAGACTACTTTTAGATGCTAAAAAGGGATAATAAACTCTTATGGTTTTGAACTTTAAGGGTGTGATTTATAATTTTTAAAACTTTGGGAGTATTTTTAAAAAAATTACTTTTAAGTTTGGCAGTTGTAACTTCTATGTTTCATGTGTCGGTAGTAATTTTTTAATGTTAAAATATTTCCTACAACTCTAAAAATTTAAGCATTCTTTTTACGATTATTAAAATTGTAGATAAATTTTTGAAAAACTCAAATATCAGTGGTCTGTAATAATTTTCAGATTTAATGTGTACTTGTTAGAATCTTTAAAATTTTAGAGTTTTTTTGTGATTTTAAAATTTTGAAGAAGTCTTTTGTAATTTTTGTAACTTAAGGTTAATTTTGGTAAATTTTTAATTTTTAGGTGCATGAAAGTAATCTCTCGAATTCATCTTTTGTTATTTATAAATTTTAAAATTTTAGAATTTTATGGTGATTTTTTATAATTTAAACTTTTGAGGGTGTTTCTATAATTTTTGAGACATTGAATGTGCTAATTGGAAATTTTAAAGTCTTTAGAGGTTGCTGTTAATTTCTTAATTCTGTGTTTGTTGTTCTAAGTTTAATTGGAAATTTTAAAGTCTTTAGAGGTTGCTGTTAATTTCTTAATTCTGTGTTTGTTGTTCTAAGTTTGAAATGTTAAAAATTTTCAGGTGCATCATGGTAATCCCTTGAATTCACTTATGTTGTTTGAAAATTTTATAATTTTATAATTTCAGGGTGCTTATTTGTAATTTAAACTTTTGAGGGTGTTTCCATGATTTTTTAAGATATTCAAGTGTTAACTGCAAATTTTTGATTATTCATAGACTGCTATTAACTTCTTGATTAATGTTTGTTGTTTGAAGTTTTAAAACGTTAAGATGTTTTTTTTATAATTTTAAACTTTTCAGAGTATTTTGTGCAATTTTAAAACCTTTTAGGTTTTTTTACAATACTTCATTATTATAGTATATTAGCTACATATAATTTCTTTATCTTAACAAACTAATACCATAAAGCTGTTTTATATATTTTATTAATATTTTTTTAATTTGTTGAGTTATAGAGAGTTCATGTAAGATTAGAATATGATATAATTATAATTAGGATAGATTAAGATATGAATGAAATATTCAAAATAGTGAAGGGTAATATTGACCAAGAAAAGATTTTTCCGAACTCGTGCTTTTAAAAGGAGTATGATGTGATATGATATAAAAAACAAACGATAAGATGAAGAGTTATTTTTTCTTTTTCTTTTTTGACTCATTAGGTACCAAATTCAAATATCTAGATTGTCAAAATTTTAAATCTTTATCTAATTTCTCTAGTAAATATAAATTTTGTATATTCAGAGATTTTCTATTATTAACATATGTAAATCAAATCTGAGCTTATATATGTATTAAGTAGGATAGGATCGGATTATTGAAGCTTATTTCTATTAATTAAAATTAATTAGAATATGATACAATAATAAGATAATATCTTAAAGGGTCAAGGGTATTTTTATCCATAGAAAGTTTTTCCCAAACTCCCTCTTTTAAAGGGAGTATGATATCTCAAATTGTAAATCCCTAAATATCGAACCCAAAAGCTAATACGAGAACAATAAAGAAAAGAGACAACCTATTACAATACGTAAAACAAATGTCACAATCGACTGAACAGATGGGTTTTCCATGTTCGTGCATGCTGTGTTATTTCTGCAAAAATTCATCTAAAAATCAAATTCATCAAACTCAAACTATATATTATCAATTCTAAACATATGAGATAGTGAAAAATTCGTATAAAACATGGAAAATGAAATCTTGCATGTTAGATCTAACATTTAATCCCTAAACATGTATGAGAGCATTTAATCAATATAGAAACTCATTTTTAAATAAATTCCCAGATCTGGGTTTCATCAAAGATTCATTGGTGAGGATTTAGAGATCTGAAACACATGATTTTTAGCATCTACACTAATAAGAACATCGATTTATACATAAAAATAATTCTTAGGCTCAATAAACCTCATGAAAATCGATTTATACTTGAAAATAATTCTTAGGCTCAATAAATCTCATGAAAAACGTTTAAAAACTCTTAAAAACATGGGAGAGGGATTGAGCGAGATGCTACTCGCCTCTGGTGTGTTGAAGAACGACTCCCTTCGCTGCAAACCACAAGAAGCTGCTAAAAATCCCCGAAAATCTCCCAAAAACGCCCAAAATCCGAAGCTAGGGTTTTAGAGGGGAAAGGGGGCTAGGGTTTCTGGGGAGAACTGATGAAAGGGGTCTTTCTCGGGTAAAAGAGATAAATACCAACCGTTAAAACCCGACCCGAAAACCCAAACAGACCCGAACTCTATCAGTCGACTCGCGATCGACCGAACAGACTCTATTTCTGCATGTGCATGATTTGTAAATTTGCAAAACTCAACCTTAAACCTGATGCATATATACATTCACATAAACTCAAAACACTAGTTATCATGCACAAACATGACATAAAGACATTTATCATAAATAAACATTATTTTTCACTAATAATCATATATATATATAATAAAAATGTACAGGGTTTTACACTTCTTGTGGTATGCAATGCTTGGTTTGGCCTTAATGATGGATGGCTTTCTTTGGTACTCAATTATGGTATGAGTTCTTTTTGTTTATGTTTTTTTAGATGGGCAATGATGATGGTGATAGCAAACTGAGAATGCAACCAATATTAATTATGTAATGTTTAGGCGAGGTAATTTTGTGTGGAATGCAACCTACATTGGTATTACAATGTTTGGTTTTGGTAATCCCTCATAATAGCAGCCTACATTACATCATAGTTTTATAGGCGAGGCAATCTATTATGACCAGTCTATTAATATCCTGGGCCGTAGTAAGTAATCATGGATTCTGGAGCTGATTTTGAGCTTGTTTAGCTATATTTTGTGTAGCAATTGGTTCTATTTTGAGCTCTGTTTGAGTTCCCGGTGCTATTTTTGACGTTATCATTCCGATTTCGGGCATGTTTAGCTCTATATTTTGTGTAAATAGGTTTGGTTCTGAGCATTGTTTGAGCTGGTGATGTTGATTTTGATATTTTCATGTCGATTTCGAGCTTGTTTAGCTCTATTTTATGTGGGAACTAGTTCTATTTTGAGCCGGTGTCATTTTTGATGTGATCATGTTGATTTCGAGCTTGTTTAGCTTTGTATTTTGTGTAAGTAGGTTCAGTTATGAGCTTTGTTTGAGTTGGTGGTGTTTATTTTGATATATTTATCCTGATTTGGAGCTTCTTTAGCTCTAATTTGAGATATTTTTGACTCGGTTTTGAGCTCTGTTTGAGCGGGTGTTGTTGTTTTTGTTATATTCAAGCTGATTTCGAGCTTGTTTAGCTCTATGTTGTGTGGGAATAGCTGCTGTTTTTGATACTTTGATGCTGATTTTGAGCTTGTTTAGCTTTATTTTGTGATGTTTTTGTTTCAGTTTATTGCTCTGTTTGAGTTGTTGTTGTTGTTTTTGTAATTCATATTTTGTAGTTTTCGAGCTTGTTTGAACTCACTTTGAGCTTTTGATATTGATGATGGTCAATAAAATGAGATTGCAAAGTGATTTACAATGTTCATACTAAGATGAGGTGTTCTTTACTACGTTATTAGAATGCAATCTATGTGATGTTATATGTTTTAATTAAGGCAATCAATTTGGGTAAAGGAGCAAAAGCTGAGTCAACTTACTACAAGAAAATATCAAATCACGACATAAAATTAGCAAAGTGCTACATGATTTGTTTAGATCATTGATTTTGATCTAACCAAAGTAAATAAATTTCTACTTCACGGTGCTTGTCAATCCCGTCTTTACCAATGTTGGGCACTGACCCATTGCTACGAACATCGTGCGCATGAATTAAGAGATCATTCATTTTACAATTTGTGTAGGGGATAACATTGCGATAGGGACACTTCCACCACCTGTTTTAATATAAAGGAGGATATGATCGGATTATTGAAGCTTATTTCTATTAATTAAAATTGATTAGGATAGGATACAATAATACAATAATATCTTAAAGAGTCAAATATATATATATATATATATATATATATATAAAGGAGGATATGATCGGATTATTGAAGCTTATTTCTATTAATTAAAATTGATTAGGATAGGATACAATAATACAATAATATCTTAAAGAGTCAAATATATATATATATATATATATATATATATAAAGGAGGATATGATCGGATTATTGAAGCTTATTTCTATTAATTAAAATTGATTAGGATAGGATACAATAATACAATAATATCTTAAAGAGTCAAGGGTATATATATATATATAAAGGAGGATATGATCGGATTATTGAAGCTTATTTCTATTAATTAAAATTGATTAGGATAGGATACAATAATACAATAATATCTTAAAGAGTCAAGGGTATTTTGGTCCATAGAAAGTTTTTTCCAAACTCCCTCTTTTATAGGGAGCATGATTTTCCTCGTACTTCTTTGTGTAACTTTCATGTGGGCATATTGCTAAATCCGTGAAGTGTCAAAATTGCTCAAATGGAATAAAATCAAATGCTATAAAGCTCTGCCCTTCAAAACTTCTAAAATATTTCTTGTTGCAGGTGATTACTTTGTGTGAAAGACTCGCAGGGCAGGATGCAAATGTAACCACTGTCCCGGTTTCTGTTCTGAAATTTACTCGCCAGCTTACTCGGTTCTTTCAGTGGACAAATGATGTTGCTGACAGATTGGCTTTCTCAGAGGTAGTAGCTCTTTATTTTGTCCCACCTACAAGGATTATCTTAAAAGGTTAATAAAAATAGACCCGATGTACTATCACCCTATTGCTGATAAACCCCCTATATTTCTATTATTCATATAGACCGTAAAGTGATTTAAAAAAAAACCATTTTACCCTCGAAGAAAGAGAAAATTATTTTTCATCAAATAGAACTGAGGGTAAGACTCAAAAAAATTCCACTCGGGGGGTCAATCCGCGATTGGACAATAATACAAGGGTTCTATCTGCAGCAATAGAACTACAAGTTGTTTATCAGCAATTGGGCGATAGTACAAGGGTCTATCTGCAGTTAATCCTATATTAAAAACTAAGTCGTGGTAAAACTAAATAACCTTCATTTGCAAGACAACTTGAAGGAGGACTATACATTAGTCCTTATCTATAGTATAGTTGGTGCATCAAGGATAGAGCAACCCTTGAGACAGTGCATTAGCCCCCAAGTTATGGAAACCTTTTCTATTTGGCTCTTATGTCTTTACTCTTTTGCAAATCAACCCTTTTAACTTTTTTATTCCATTTTCTTTACCATGGCCATATACATTTGAAAAATATGTCCATTATTGATACTAACGAGGGTGCAATTGTCAATTGGACTTAAATATAACTAATCTATTAATGTACAGGGGAGTTTCCCTCCAAAAAATATTAAGAGTATGGCAACAATACCCTCGCCCATTGGTTTTCACGACAATGATCTAAGAAAGAAGGTGAGATGAAAAGTTGAGGGCTGGTTTGCAAAAAGTAAAAACATAGGTGTAAGCTGTCAACCAATTCGGGGCTTATTAGAGTTTGTTATCCTGATCCAAGAATATGAAGTCTTTGATGTACCATCTAGTGGATAGAAATGTTACATTAGTTCCTAAATCTATATTAACCTAACGTCCAAAATCATGGATTCAGGTGCTCTCCAGCGACGTTGTATTTTCAGTTCCGATGAATGAGACGTACAGCCTCTTGGGCATCGATCAGAAAGACATTTCAACTTTAGAGAAGTATCTGCAGGATTACTTCACAAACATATTGAAGAAACTAAAAGACATAAAAGCACAGTCCAAACAGACAGACATTTACCTTTGAATTACTCCATTTGCAAAGGTAATGATTCTCAAAAAATTTAGTAGAAAAGTTCGACTGTGTATTTGTGAATTCTTTGTGCAATATATATGTAGGAAATTGTAAGTATACATTAACATGAATACTGAGTTATATGAATTCAAATATCAAATGACAGTTGTCGTCGTCGTTTTGATAATTGTGTTAGCTGGAGCTTCTAGCATTAAATATGTTTGTTTTGATAAATGTGTTGAAGGAAACTAGACCTGGCCCGTTTTCTTTTTAGGGCCTGTTTGGTACATTTCTGAAAAAAAGGGAAAACAGAAATAAAGAAATGAAATGATTTCAAGACATTTCCAGTGTGTTCCCTAGTTTTTATTTATTTTGTTTGTTTCACAGTGAAATCAACCCCTTAAAATGTATTTCTTTGTTTCCACATGTTTGTTTCATTACTTTAGAAACAAGAAATCACATCCCTATTTAAATTTTCATTTCCAATGTTTGGTATGCACAAATACCCCAACAAAAGAAGAGTTGAATGTCAAAACCATGGTGAGCTTACCGCTCCCAAACTAGTTCACAGCAATAATCCTAACGGAACATTGGCCAACGGTCATTTTTTAAAAACCGCACACAAGTAAAGAGCTGGCAACGGTCAAGTAAAAACCATCTATATATTGTGTCCACTTGGGTGAGTATTTTACAGTTGCAGCAAAGCTAGAAAGCTCCAACAATTCATAGAGCCTCTTCATTTGGGTGCCTCCTTCAAAATTAAATTATCCAAGGGCCTTCTTCTTTGACAGTGCTTAGCCATGGCTGCTGCCCAAAGAGGTATGCACAAATCTCCTGAGATAAAATGCTTATGCAATATACCAACACCGTTGAAGTAGTGCAAAGTGTGTTCGAACAAGGGCAAATTTTTTTGGGGTTGTGCCAAATACCCAAATAGATCATGCAAATTCTTTAGGTGGGCCGAAGATGAGAAAGAAATCAAAAATAGCGAAACCAGAAAAGAAGAACCTTCTCTTCAATAAGTGTCGGAATTAAAAGAGCTGGAAACAAAGCATTTGTGAAGAGAATTGAAGCATGCAATTGAACAAGTTGAATATTTGAAAAAATGTATTGTGGTTTTGGGGCTATGAAGAGAATTGAAGCATGCAATTGAACAAGTTGAATATTTGAAAAAATGTATTGTGGTTTTGGGGCTATTCAATATTTTCCTTGTTCTTGTAAACATTGTAATCTGCATCTTAAAAATATAATGAAAATGTTTTGTGTAAACATTTTGGTTACAAGATATAATGCAATTCAACTTTTCTGTACTCTTTGTAAAAAAAGGCTATTCCAATACTTAACAGGCATGTAAATGTCAACTTCTGCATATATATATATATATATAATCAGAAAACATGACATTCATCACTGCACAAATAGGGACTGAGCAAAACAGAAAAACCAGATCACAACAAAGCTTCATTGTTTAACCAACTAAAAGATAACAAAAAATTCAGCTAATAAACAAAAGGTTTCCAGCAGAGAGATAACTGCGTAGTGAATAATGCCAAAAGAGTCAAAACAGCAGAGGGAATCAGCCCATGCTAGGATAAGCAAGCACAGCATTTTCAACAACGTATTCTACACCATGTTAAAACAGCATGCACAATTTGATAGCTGAATTTGTACATAGAAAAGAGGAAGTAGTCCCTAAGTGCAGTGAGTAACCAAAAATATTGAACCAATAGGTATGAACAAGTACTTAGATAAACGAAAGTGTCAAAACAGCACAAGGCAGTAGCACATCTAGCAGTCAAAATAGCACAAGGCAACAAAGACCAAGTAGTTTATAAGTGGTTTATAAAAAAAATAACAGTCAAAACAGCACAAGGCAACAACACATGTAGTCTAGCATGCACAACAATTTCAACAGAGTGAGTTGAGATGGGTTCTGAAAGCTGCTTTATGAAAGTGATGTGTAACCAAGCACTAATAGAGGTATGAACAAGTGTTTAGATCATGCAAGAGTCAAAACAAGTGAGAAAGATATCATATATAATAAGGCATGCACAACATTGCACAACAAAGTGAGCTGATAAGGGGTGTTAAAACATCACAAATAAAGAACAGTAAGGCCAAAAGATTGAATCAGGTTTTGTGCTCAAATAGGAACCTACTTCATCACATATCCATCATCAACAAGTGCTTAGATAACCGAAAATGTTGTGAGACAGCACAAGGCAGTAGCACAGCAAAGCTACGCATGCACAACAGTGTACAACAAAGTGCTCTTCGAGGGGTTTCAGATCTGCACAAGACTATAGCAGTTTGTACGTAGGAAAGACCAAGTAGTTTATAAGTGGCTTATTAAAAAGAACAGTCAAAACAGCACAAGGCAACTAAACATGTAGTCTAGCATGCACAACAATTTCAACAGAGTGAGTTGAGATGTGGTTTGAAAGCTGTATTATGAAAGTGATGTGTATAACCAAAAAAATAATAGAGGTATGAACAAGTGTTTAGATCATGCAAGAGTCAAAACAAGTCTTACAGATATCATATATAATAAGGCATGCACAACATTGCACAACAAGTGAGCTGATAAGGGGTGTCAAAACATCACAAATAAAGAACAGTAAGGCCAAAAGATTGAATCAGGTTTTGTGCTCAAATAGGAACCTACTTCATCACATATCCATCATCAGCAAATGATTGCATGACAATGTTGGCTGCATGCCCGATAATACTAGTGTTTTCATAGCTGAATAAGAATATCATAAAGTGTGGATAGGGCTGCCTTGCCAAATGGTTGTCTGCAATAAATGCTGGGTAAGAATATCAGAAACCAGCCCCACTCATCATTGCACAAATGTGGTTGCTTGATGTTTCCCAAAACCCAAAACCCCAAACCAGCCATGAGTCACAATGGGTGAAGCTATATGTGCAGAAATAATCAGCTTCACTAGGCGTATGGAAAGCATAAAGTGTGGCAGTGTATCAAATTAGCTCAAGAGCTGACTGAAGGTCTCTGTAGAGGATGAGTCACGTGCTCTCAAATATATTACAAACATACCAGATCTAGGAGTTTAACAAAAAAATAGCCTCATGTTTTTTGCTCTCGCAAAATGTATATGGTAATTGTTAGCTCCCCACCGGTCCTGCAAAATATATAACCAATTAGCAAGGATGAATCAAAAGTTCAGCACAAGTATAAAAGCACAAGTGTAGTGTAAAATCCTACCTTCACCCACACTCATTTACTTCCCCCTCCTTGCATCTGCATGAAATTGTCCAACAAAGCCCTTTGGCCAAAGTCACTCTTACCTATAAAATGCCTCATCTGCATGAAATTGTCCAACAAAGCCCTTTGGCCAAAGTCACTCTTACCTATAAAATGCCTCGCTTTGATTTCATTTTCAAATGTGGTATCATAAAATAGCTCTAGGACTTCTATGGGGTAAGTTTCTTTGTGCCTAAAGATGGCTGCAGACAATTTCTCAGTCCAGTGCTGATTAACAAGATTGAGAGATGAGGAAAAGTGTTTAACTTCATCCACCATCTGTTGCATGATGTCACGACCAACATCTGTCTTTCTCATGCGACCTTTCACCGATGAGATTTTTTTATGGTAGTCCTTCCTGGAGGCGTTATCATTGTTGGTTTGAGATTGATTATCTTCATCTAAAAAGTAAATTGTGGGAAGGGACTTCTGAGGCACAGACATGCTAACATTTTGATCTTCGTCATCATCTCCAAGGTTGATCGCATCGTGGCCCCCAAATTTCTCCATCGAGGCCTTGGCAAAGTTACCTCTTGCTTGATCATCCCCACAGATGACAGCTAGGTTCTCATAATGCTTCAGCGGCTTATTTATGTAACCTTTAAGCCTGCTCTTATTTTTATCCTGCATGTCATCAATATCCAATTCTGTATAAAGAAGCGCATTTATTTGTTTGGTCAAGTAAATCAACATTTTGAAGATATGCACGCTTCATTTACCTCATTCCATGTATCAAAGCTCTCGGGATCCAGCATGATTGTTTGTGTTGTCTCATCCCAACCCGCGCCACTGATATTACGCGTAGCCTGCATGTCTTGAAACCAAGAACGAATTGTTTTCATATGGTTAACAACACTCTTGGTAGCAAATAATGTACTAAATTTCTTGTTTACTTCAGCGGCCGCCTTTGCAAAGGCATGTTGCTTAAAGTTTTTGTCTGGTTTAAGGCCAGACCTTGCCAAATTGGCCAAAAAAGCTATGAGCACGTCATCGTGAGCAGGGGTCCACCATCTGGTTGGGGACCCAGATGAAGTTGCTTCACCACGTGGTATTTGTCTTTTCCTGTGGGCCACAACCTTGAATTTTTTGGGTGAACTAGCTGAAGTGGCTACTACTTCATCCCTTTCCAACCGTTTTTTGCTACCTGAATCAGAAGTAGTCCCTGTAACACGAGTGGGAGAATGAAAGTAACCGGAGGAATTGGAGCCTTGAAATGGTTGTGGCAAAGATGGGGCGTTACTGAGAATGTGCATGTAAGATGAAATGGGGTGAGGCATAGGGAAAAAGTTACCATCGGTATGCAGAATATTGGGAAAACCAGAGGGTGATTGCACGTAGGGGGAGGATGGCTAGAATATTGGGTTGAATGGGTGATTGAACCCACTGCTTGATGGAAGCACGAGAGAGGGTGGTTGGCTCCTAGCCGTTGGGGCGTGAGTGGTTGTCCTCACGTTGGCCAAATCTGCACAACATTGTTTGCATTATCAGCCATATCCTATAGTCCAACAATTCAAATGTTAGTCCAAAAAATATTAAGAAGATGGTATTTTAAATTGACTGCTTTGGAATAGAGCAACAAATGTTGTGAGACACAAGAAAGTATAATACAAAAGATAACTAAAATAGTATTAAAGTACATGACATAAAAGAGGAATACATGATATCCTGCACAATAACAAGGTGTAGATTGATGCCCTAACCAATGAAGAAGTCACACAATTGGATATAACCAACACATGTTAATGTAGCAACAAACACAGAGTACGAAATAAGTTACAATAACCCCAACCATAATAAACTAAGATAAACTACAGGAATCATATAAAATCACATCGCAGACTCAGTCGTGTCACCATGTCGGTATTTACAACAATAGTCAATCCACATGTCCAAAGCGATTTGATCTCTGCGAGATCTCCACTCATCCTTTGAG